GGGGCGGCCCGGAGGCGGCGGGCGCGCGGCCCCGCGGCGACCACTGCAAGGACTCCGGCCTCAGCAGCCTGGAGTCCACCAAGGCCCGGGCCTCGTCCGCCGCCTCGCTGCCGTCGGGGGACCTGGGGGGCCTGCAGGGCCTGCCCCCGCGCCGCTCGGCCGCTGCCCGCCTCCACCAGTGTCTGTGACGCCCTCGCCCGTCCCGGCGCTGCTGGTTCGTGCCCTCCCCCCCCCCCCCCAGCTGCCGCCTGCACTGCCGAGGGGCGGGGCCGGGGCGGTGCTGGTGCCGCCCGCTGGGCTCAGCCGGAGTGGGCGGAGAAGTCCGAGCTGGACCGAAGAGGGGAGGGGCCGCTGGGCTTGGTGTCCTTCTCTGTGAGTCCGCTTGGGGACCCTGTTGACCGTGCGGTGTGGGTGGACAGCCCGGGTCTCATGCTGAAAGCTACAGGCTGGATTTTTGTGTCTGCCCTCCCCTGACCCCCACTAGCTCCTAGCCAAGGAGAGGAGGGTGGGTGTTTAGGGAGCAGATGTGTAGGGTTGGGTGTCCACGGGAGAGGGAGGGGGTTTGTGTGTGTGTGTGTGTGTGTGTGTGTGAGTGTAGTCACTGTGGAAAGGTGTTTCCAGTAGCGATTTCTGCCCCAACCCCTTCATTCCCTCACTTAACCCCAAGCCAAGACCCTGCCTCGGATGCACACAGGCACATCCGCAGAGGCCAACTGAACCCCACCGCTCTCGCTCCACATCCTTTGCCACCCCCTAAGTCACTCCTCAAAGCTCTTTGACCCGGTGGACCTCCCTACTCCCTTCTGTTGTCTCCCCCTTGGGGGAGGGGGATTGTCCGGGATTCCTCCTGCTTCCACGGTTCAACGTGCAGGTTTTCACCTTCAGTCAGGAAGAGCTGTCACAGGGTGGGTGGGACCCAGCTCCCCTTCCCCCACATTGTAAATAAACCTGAGAGCCCCAGTCCTCAGCCCTCATTCCAGGGGAGCCCAGTGGGGTCTCCAGCCCTGCTGCCCAAGTCTGTCTGTCTTCTTGGTTTATGCAAAGATTTGCTGTAAAGTCTCTCTCTCTCTCCCCCCTCCCTTTTACTGTAAATATTGTCTCTAATGTGTAACATATTATAAAGAATTTATAAGGATTTTTAAAGATGTTTTGCTCATTTTAAAAAGTGTTGTAACAGTGTTGGGTAAAGCGCCCACGTCCGCATGCCCCCCCCCCCACTGTGTCCTCGGCACACCTCTAGGCTATAACTAAGATTCCTGCTTCTGAAAGTCCTGTCTTAAAAGTACAGTCTACATCTTGGAAATAAATGGCCTTCCTCAGGCATGAACCAGCGTCTCACTTGTTTGGATGTGGGGAGGGACAGCAGAGGACGTGGGAGGGTCCCTGGGCTGAGTGGCAGGATGAAGGAATGACTCCGCTGGGATGGCCTTCTGGGTCTGAGCAGAGGCATACAGGTGGTGGTTGTCAGGACATCTCCATCCCTACATCAGCAGGGGGCCGCCAGGCGCCCACTCGGCCACACCTGCACAGGGCAGGCAGGTGGGAGGCTCGTTGTTGATCCAACCGTCAGAGTGACCTCAGGCAGTACCCTGCAGTCGAAGAGACTTGGCCAGCTGTCACCCCGGCCCGGCTGCATTGTCAAAGTACAGTGTGGGCCTGGCCCATTTCCTCAGTCATAAATGCATAAAAGTATAAACCACACCACTTGAAGCAAAGTTCTGGGGTTTTATTTTGTTGGTTTAGTCAGGGTCTCACTATGTAGCCCTGGCTGGCCTGGAATTCACTCTGTGACCAGGCTGGCCTCAACTTACAGCACTCCTCCTGCCTCAGCCTCCTGAGTGATTACAGACGTGGGCCACCATGCCTGGTTTATGGTTTGAATCTGAACTGTCTCCCTCGGGCTCTGATCTTGACCTCCTGGTCCCCCACTCACTCACAGCACTGTCCTGAAGCCAGTGGGGCCCGCCAGGAAAGCAGGTCACCAGAAGCAACCTTTGAAGGTTGTTCTGCCCTGGTTCCGGCAGGGTCCCTGTGTCCTCAGCCGGCCACAATGTGCCCTCCACCACAATGGACCAAAACTCCCTTGAAATTGTGATCCAAAATGAACCTTTTGGTTCTTTCTATCAGGTATGTGACCACAGCAATAAATAGAATGCGTTTTAGTAATGGGCGTTTAGAATAAAAAGAAGCCATGTGAGCGGCTGAGAGAGCTAGGGTAACTATTCCAAGCAGGAGACAGAAATTCTAACCAGGGACAAGGACACTCTGTTTCTAACTGGGGACAAGGACATTTTGTAACAGTCTATAAACCAGACTGTCAGGTGATAGAGCCGGTATACTCCCAAGGATATGAGATGCTGGGAGTCTAAGAGGATCCAGGGGAAGCTACAGTTTGGTTTGCTGGTTGAAGACTTCAGCATCCCACACTCAGCGGCGGATAGAACTGACCACAAAGAGAAAAAGCCTGACCACTGTAAACCAGCGGGACTCAGGGGCTCTGAGGAATGCTCCAAAGGACAGAACATGGTCTTCTCAAGTACACATGGATCATTCCCTGGGCAGACCATACAGTAGGCCTTAAGTAAGACCCTGTGCATGTCAAAGGAGAGGAGTCACACCAAAGCCTGTTCTCAGCCACAGTGAGATTGTTAGAAAAAATCAAGAGGCTCGGGGTCAATGAGATGGCTCGTCAGGTAAGGGTGCCTGCTGCCAAACCTTATAACCTGAGTTTCATCTCCGGAAGCCACAGGGTGGAAAGAGGACAACTCTTAAAGTTCTCTTCTGGGGCTGGAGAGATGGCTCAGATGTTCTGCTCTTCCAGAACATCCTGAGTTCAAATCCCAGCAACCACATGGTGGCTCACAACCATCTACGATGAGATCTGGTGCCCTCTTGTGGCATGCAGGTGTACATGCATCCAGAACATTGGATACATAATAAATAAATAAATAAATAAATAAATAAATAAATAAATAAATAAATAAATAAATCTTTAAAAAAAAAAAAAAAAAAAGGCTTGAGCTGGGCCTGGTGGTGCACACCTGTAAACTCAGCACTCACAGAGGCAGAGGCAGGAGGATCTCTGTAAGTTCAAGGCCAGCCTGGTCAACAGAGCCCAGGACCAGGGCTACACTGTTGGAAATACCACTCCCAGCTCCACTCCTCTTTTAGTTGTTGATGATGACAGGGTCTCACTATGTAACCTTGGCAGTCTGGAACTAGCTATGTATACCAGGCTGGCCTCCAACTCAGCCAGTCACCTTTATTGAGAAGCTAATGATTCACTTAAAATTGTGAGTATTATGGCTGTGTATATATACACACACATGGAAGCCAGAAATATGTCTTCTTACTTTCTAACTTCCCAGACAGGGTCTTTCCAATGAACCTGGAGTTCACCTATTGGGTAACCTGGCTGGCCAGTGAGTTCTAAGGACCTGTCCCCACACCCTCTTCCCGCTCTAGGGTCACAGACCTGAACCACTATGCCTGGCTTTTACATGGGCGGTGGGAATCCAACCTCAGGTCACGTTTGTAGGGCAGGCATTTCCCTGTCAGCCATCTCCCCAGCTCTCCCATTCTCCACACTTAAGGTTTCCAATCAGGGGCCCTCAGGGCCTGGTCATTCTGGGTGGGTCAACATTGCTCACTGCCACCCTAGCTACAGGGCCGACTCTGTTCCGTCGCTTGCTGTCAGCCATTTGTAGGTGTTCACCCCATTTCCTGGCCTGCTCCCCTGCCAGAGCCTACACTTGGCTCGGCAGCCAGGAGGGCTATTTGGGAGCCACTTGAAGGGTGAGGGCTGGGCCTTACAGTCTCTGGCAAGCAGGTGATGGCTGTTTGTTCTCCATTTTAAATTGCCAGCGGAGGGGGAGGGGAAAGCAGGAGGGGGTTGGCTGCTCTCCTGCTTGCCGGGAATACGAAGGGAAATGGACAATGGGACCAGCTGAAGTGCTGAAAGACACAGGGACAGCCTGTGGGTATAATGAGCTCTGGCCACACTGGTGTCTGAGGTCTTCTGGGGCAATGTCAGGAGGTGACTCATGCAGTGGTATTTCCAATGGCGAGCAGTTTCTCAACTCCAATGGCCCTGGGGGGGAATGATGCTAAGGGTTCCAAAAAAGGATGGGCAAGTGTAGCTTCAGGACCCTGTCACCTCATGGGACAGAGGTAAACATCTGGTAACTCCAGGCCTCAGCCGAGTAAAATATAGGAAGCCTCAAAGGCAAGACCTTCCGAACTCTGGCTCTTGAAAACCCCGAGCAGGACTTCCGGCCCGTCCCCTGCAAGCTGTGAGGAGCAGCTACATTTCACTGTTCCATTCGCTAACTCCTGTAAGTTCCAGAGCTCTGACGCAACTGCCCTGGAAAGAGTCGGCATCAAGACTCATCCCTCCCGGAGGTCCAGAGTCTGAAACCCAACATGGCACTGGTCGAGGAACTCTGACCTCTAATCACTGGCTTTGGGGCTAGCTGGAGCTGAATTCAAATCTTGGGTTCACAGACTGCTGGTTCTGGGACACGAGAAAGATGCCCAGGATGTCTGTGCTGGCTCTGTCGCTCACGGGTGTAGCGAGGCCTAGACTGGCCTCTCCTGCAACCTCCAGTCTGAAGCTGACTCTTTACAATTAGTGGGGTTTAGCTGGGCCTGGTGACAGAGCCTTTAATCCCAGCACTCTGGAGGCAGAGGCAGGCGGATTTCTGAGTCAAGGCCAGCCTGGTCTACAGAGTGAGTTCCAGAACAGCCAGGGCTACACAGGGAAACCCCGTCTCAACCCCCTCAAATAAAATAAAGTGACTGGAGCCCTTCTCCAGTACCCCCAAGGCCTTAGGTAGCCCCAGCCCAATGACTCCTGTCCTTTCTCCGTGCCATGCCCACTGACGAGAGGCACGCCGGCTTCAGGAAGTCCCCACCCCTCCGCCGTTCACCCCAGCTCCTTCCGGGACCCTGGAGGTGAAGAAGTAAAATAACGAGGCAGAATCCACAGGAAGAAGATCCAGGAGAGGAAAAAGAAACAAGTTTTATTAAAGCCCCAACACTCGGCTAGAAAAACCAAAAGGGAAGGGAAGAAAGCAGGGAGGTAGGGAAGAAAAAAAAAAAAAAAAAGACATTAAAAAAGAGACAGAAAACACAGCAACCCTTTCCATTTAGAAATTGTCAATTACACTGACAGAGATCACAAAATATCCACAGAAGCCATCACTTCTACACCGACACAGGCCCTACGGGGTGGACGGGTGGGTGTGGAGCCGGGCTGGCCTTGGGGGGCCCTCCCTTGGGACCCCCCTCGAAGCCTTGGCCCTGAGGCCCCTGGGAAAACAGTATATTGTGGAAGGGGTCAGAGAGAACCCCCCATGCGAGTAACACAGCACAGCGGGCAGGGGGTGAGGGGACCAGGTACAGGGTCCCCCAATGTGGCAGTTTCTTTTGTCAAGCACACACTGATGGACAGAGCGGCGGAGGCGCATGCAGCTGTGGGGGCGGGGACCGACGTGCTGCGGGTGTGGGGGGAGGGGAGCCGGGCGAGTGGTGCAGGGTTGATGGGACACGGGCACACACATGCGCACACACGGGCACACACACAGCGGCCGCCTCACACCTCGCCTGCACCTGGACACGACCCTACCCACCGCTCACGTCATCTCTACCCAGCCACACGCGGTCCTCACCCCAACAGCCAGGCATGTCCGCACACACACTACACGCGTTCGCGTTCTTACTGCCAAGGCTCCCTCACACAGCCGTGCTGGCCACGTTCACATACATGTACAAGGCTTCGCATATACAGTAGAAGCTTTTGCTCACTCACTCACACACACAGGTTCCATGCACGTGCACACACCTAAGTCACGGAGGCTTACGCCAGCGTGCACACACACGCACACAGGCGCAGGGACCAAAAGCGAAGAACGATGCCAAGCCCGCGGGCTCTGCCTGGGCGCCTAGGGCAGCTCCTGCATGGGTCCCTTTCCCCTCCCCCGGCTCCCTCTCCCTCCACAAAGGACACTCAACTCAGGACAATGACGGAGGGGCGCACACTCAGGTCACAGAGCTGAGGGGGTGTGGGGGCAAGCGAAGAGTAGCAAGCAAAGAGAAATGGAGTGGAGGGGCCCCCCCCCCCTCCCCTCCCAAGTCAGGGGTCTCTGTACAGCCAAATCAAACCAAACTGCTTCACCGGACTACAGAAGCCAGGGCACACGCCTGTCCCCAGCCCCCTCCCCTGCCAGACAGCGGCCAGGGAGAGTGTGCTGTGGTTTTCTTGTTTGTTTTTTTTTTCTTTTTTAAATATTTATATATATTTATATTACGTATATTATATATATAATATGTAAATATATCTTTAAAACAATATAAAATGTTAAGACACTTCACTTAAATGTAAAGAGTTGCTTGCAATTAAAAGTAATTGCATCATCGTGAGGTCCTTTTTTTTTTTTTTTTTCTATTTTCTAGGGTTTTTTGGATTTTTTTTTGTTTGTTTTTTTTTTCTGGGAGGGATTTTTTTTTCTTCTTCTTCTTTTGTTATTTTTCAAAAAGGCTTGTTCGCCTTCATACAAAAATGATCCAAAGCTAGAAAACAAGAGTGAACTGAGAAAACAAAAACAGAAATTAAAAAAAAAAAAAAAAAAAAAAAAACACAACCCAGTTTTCCCTCCCTCCCCGAACCCTCAACAGCTGCTACTGGCTCTCCCTGCCAGGTCTTGGGGTCCTGTCCCTTCCATGGTTCCTTTCTGTGCTTATGGGGGACTAGAACCAAGACCGCCTCTCTGTGCTTACTCTACTTTGTGCTCTGAAAGGAGCCCCCTCCGCCCTTCCGCAGGATCTCCCTTCTTGCTCTGGCCCCTCTGTGCCTTCTAGGGGCCAGAGTCAAGTCAGCCTCTCCCCTTGACTTCAGGGCCCACCCGAAAGCCAGTCTGCCCCGGCCAGGACCGCTGCACGGAATCCATAGACTGGAGTGCCGGCTGGCTGCTCTGCCTTGGGGACCCTCCAACACCTCACCAGTGGTCACCAGATCCCCCCAGACGAGTCACGCACACCTCTTCCCTGAAAACCCTCAAATCATAGAGGCTGGTTGAAGGTCAAGCGGCCCAGCCCCCAGCTCGGGGTCAGCCTTTACTGCACCCCCCTTCTCCCTTCCCACCCCCAAACATGTTTCTAGGTCCCTCCATCCTGCCCACCCCACCCCAATAAAATAAGTTAATGGCATTTAAAGTGCTAAATTAGGAAACTAAAAGTACCAGATGCCCCTCAGGCCTGCCCTCTCCCAAGGCAGAGCCGCAGGGGCAGGCTGTCCCCCAGGAACACCCACCATGACAGGCGTCCTGGGGGCCTCCTTCTGCCCTTTGCTAGCACCAGCCGGACAACTGAGCAACAGTGAGCCGGCCTCTCCCCTGGCACCTAGTGCCCCCCCTCTCCTCCTCACACCCAGCCTTGGCCTCTTCTCTGAGGATGCCCTCCAGCTAGGCCTGCGTCCAGGCCCACCCTGATTCCAGAGGAAAACCAGAGGCTGGCAGCAGAGTCTGTCTCTTCGAAGGATGGACAGGCAGCGGGGCATCTCCAAGGCCCAGCGTCTCCCCTGTCCATTGTCCAGCCTGACGCCGAGTTAGTCCACATCCATCCGTTCCTCCAGGAAGGAACTCCATAACGGGAGGGGGGTTCTCTCTTCACTCCAAAAGTCTCCGTGGCTCAGAGTTAGTTCCAAGTGTTCTCGGGAAGTTAGGGGAGGTGGGAACTTTGGATGGACTTGGGAGGAAGAGGGTGAAAGAGCAGAGGGAAAGATGAGAGGAAGTGGGCCAAGCAGAGGCCACTAGGGAACAGGAGGAAGTCAAGGGAAGTTGGTGTGTTTGGTTTTTAGTTTTCTCTTTTGCTCTTTAAAAAAAGAAAAAAGAAAAGAAAAAAAGAAAAGGAAAGAGAATTAAAAGGGAACCACTTAAAAAACCAAACACACCAAGAGGGGATGAGAGAGCTGGGGCCATGCCCCTGCAACCCTTCCGGTGTGAGAGTGGGGAGGGAGGAGCGGGCATGAAAGAAAGTGGGAAATGATGGTGGGGGTGACGGAGGGGCAGGTTGGGGCCTCTAGAAGGAGATGGAAGAATTCCTTGCCCCAAAGGAAGTCAATACAGGGATGGAGGTTCTGGAACCAGAGGGCTTGTCTGAGACAGGGCTTGAGGTCTCATTCGACCCGCTCATCTCTTTAGATGGTTTAGTGGCCTGGAACAAAAACAGGGGTCAGGGGTCAGAGAGAGCGAAGGACAGCCTCCATGCTGGCTCCTGGCTGAAGTGTTGAAAAGTGGAAAAACTCCACAAGTCCGAGAGAAAAGTAACTGCGAAAGTGAGAAACCAGAGCAGGGCGTCTGGAGAGAGTGCTCCTCTGAACTGCTGGGGCAGGATGGGCTAGTGTATCTACAGGGCACAAGGAAGGGGGAGGGGAGCCGTGGGGTTGGATCAAAGGCCCGGAAACCAGAGTGGGGGGTGGCCTCAGTCCATGGTTACTGAGAAGAAAGACAGAAGACAGAAAGAGATACCAGAGAGACCCAGCCCAGGACAGGCAGAGGGGACGAGGGGTGGCAGGGTGGGTAAGGGGGGGGGGAAAAGAAGTGAACGGTTAGCAGTGACAGGGATGCATCTGAAGCCGGGGCAGGTGGCGGAAGGTAGCTCAGCCCAGCAGCAGAGGTCCACACCTCGGGCCTCTGCGGGAGGCCGGTCCTCACCAGAAGGTTCCTGGTGTAAGCTGGAGTGAGCTAGCCCTCCTGGAAACTGAGAGGATCCACCTGCCACCACCAGCGTCTCTCTCAGCTCAGGGATCCCCACTCTGGCCCTCTCTGCTCACGTGCCCCAGCCAGAGCCCCCTGCACGCACACACACACACACGCACGCATGCGTGCGCCTCCTTCCTTGTATATTGGTCCCCAGGCTTCTCCTTTGGAGACACGGCCTCCGAGGCATGACTTAAGAGCCACCTGCATCGCCTCCACGGGACGCTCTGTGACACGTACCACCACTGCAGAGCGTGTCGGCCTGTGTCACAAGTGGGACTCCGTCCAGAATCGTCCCTACCTGGGGGAGTGTGCATTTTAACAAGTGCCGATACTGGGTGAGGGTGACAGGCGTCCCAGGCGTGAACTCTGTAACTGTACCCAGCGACTCACCTGGAGTTTAGCCACCAGCGTGATAACTTGATTAAACAAAACAAAACAATGGCTGGAGAGTTGGCTCAGCAGTTAAGAGCACTGGCTGCTCTTCCAAAGGTCCTGAGTTTAATTCCCAGCACCCACATGGTGGCTCATAACCGTCTATTGTGAGATCTGGCGCCCTCTTCTGGCGTGTAGTCAGAGCACCGTATAAATAATGAATAAATATGTATATTTTTTTAAATATGAAAATCCTGAGGCAATGGTGCATGCCTGTAACTGTTGAAAACGTGAGGCGAAGGCAAGGACAGCCGATTCCAGCTCGGTCCGGACTACACAGTGAGACCCTGTCTCACTAAGCAAACAACAGCAAAGGCCACTCTAAAGAGAAAGAGGGAGCCTGGCACTAGTGGTACACACCTTTAACCTGGCAGAGGCAGAGGCAGGGGGATCTCTGTGAGTTTGAGGCCAGCCTGGTCTACAGAGTTAGTTCCAGGATAGCTAAGGCTACACAAAGATACCTTGTATGGAAAAAAAAAAAAAAAAAAAAAAAAGAAAAAGAAAAATACCCCAGACAAGACAAGATGCATTCACCCACAATGGTGGCGGAAAAGAACCAGGGCATAGGTGTTGTTAGGTGGGGTCTGGGGACCATGGGAAAATGGGGGCCAGTGGAGAAAAGCCGGGAAGGACTGAACGTTTGTCCTCCTAGGAGCCAGCAGACAGACAAGGTCTTGTTGCCCATGGCTGTCTGAGGCCTATGGTGGAAGGTGGTTTTTTTTGTTTGTTTGTTTTTAATTTGTTTATTTTTATTTTATATGCATTAGAATAAAGGTGTCAAATCCCTCGGAACTGGAGTTACAAACAGCTATGAGCTGCCATGTGGGTGTTGGGAATTGAACACAGGCCCATTAGAAAGAGCAGACAGTGCTCTTAACCAGAGCCATCTCTCCAGCCAGGTGGAAAGGGTTTTAAGATAGTTAGGTCCATGGCTGGTGGTGGCGGTGGATGCCTTTAATCCCAGCACTCAGGAGGTAGAGGCAGGTGGATCTCTGTGAGTTCATGGCCAGTCTGGTCTACAGAGCAGTTTCCAGGACAGCCAGAGCTACACACAACAACAACAAAAACAACAACAACAGAAGACAGCTAGGTCCCCAGGCTTGGCTCTAATGCCATTTGCTGTGCAGGTCTGGGAACTCTCTGTCCTGCTATGAGCTGACTCTCATGGCCAGCCTTGGCGAGCCCTAACCTTCTACTTCTGGACTGAACAAGGGACCCGAGACAGGCCTGGCACAGAGGAGCTGCTCGGGAGAGGTTCTGAACCCAGAAGGTGCACAGAAGGGCTCTCCACAGCTCCAGCCAGGCTCTCCTCCGCTCCAGGGCCCTAGGCACCACGGGGAAATTCTGTCAACTCCAGACCTACAAACGGAATCCGAACAGGCTGTTGCACCTGCACAATTCTCACCAACACCTGATCTGCATTACGGGCTGTGGCTGAAAATCGTGTGCAAAACCAGCTTTCTCCCGAACTGAGGGCAGAAGGCTGGACGCAGAGAGCAGATGGGAGCCATGCAGAGGAGCACAGAGGCGCAGGAGGCAAGACGGCTGTGGTAGGGGCTTCAGTGAGTGGCCCAACTGTTGTGGCAGGAAGTGAATCTGCCCGCACAGGGCAGGCCTCCACAGGCAGGGACTGAGGCTCATCTACCCTTGAATTCAGGGACTCACAGCTAAACCATATCCAAAGCCCCGGGCCCACAAGGAGGAACGAGATGGAGGGAGTCATAACAGGGAGGGACACACAAGAACCAGAACCATCACTGGAACGGTGGCACGTGGCAGAGGCTTGGTGTATGACCGGCCAAGGGCCTGGGGTGTCCCCGTATCCCACCCTCACCTGCTGCTGGGCTTGGATCCTCATGTACTCCGCCCTTTGCTTGCTGTGTTTGCCTTTGTCAGGGCTGCCTGCTGGGCCCTGGGCCGCCTTCAGCCGAGAGGCTCCTGGAGTCACCACCTTCATGGGCGGCACGCTGCCACCGCCACTCTGTGGAGAGAGAGACAGGCTGGGGTGGGACAGTCCTGTGTGGAACTCTCAGCGCTGGGTGGAGTCCTGGAGACCCCTCCCTGACGCCACCAAACAAGGCTTCGGTCCCCTCTGAGCCCAGGTTGAAGACCTCCCTGCAGCAGATGACCAGCTAGGCGCTACCCTGAGTAAGAGCCCATTTATGACTTCCCTGAGTGGCCCAGGGGCAGCTGGCACCTTCCTAAGAAGGCCCCAGTGCCACTCAGCTCCCAGCAAAGGACACCACCCTGGTCCACGAGACAGAGTTGGAATTGGGGGTCTCTACTAAGAGAGCATCCCCAGGTCCACATCACCCCCAGAGTGGGAGGCAAGAGGAGAAATTCCCCCCCCCACACACACACAAATGAGTACATCTGAGCCCCTAGCTACCCCCTCACGTAACAGCCCTTCCCAGAGAGACTCTGGAGCCCCAGAGGTGCGAGCGGAGAAATGACAGTGACAGAAAGAGTCAGAGACAGGAAGGGGAGAAAGGGGCAGAGAAGATGAGAAAGCTTTATTCTCTGGTTTACAGAGATGAGACAGGGACAGAGGCCACCTGGTTCAGGCCCAAGCAGAGCTGAGTCCTGGGTGGGCCGGCTTCCCGGCCGTCCCTGGCTCTACCCATAGGCCTTGGCCTGGAAACGGACTCCCAGGGCATGGAAGGCTGAGACAAAGACAGCGGGCATGAGGGAGATGGTCAGAGCTCCTGCGGCCCCGCTCCCTCCACTCTGTAAGCCCAGAGACGGGAGCAGGAAGGGAGCGGGGGAGATGAGGCGGGAGGCAGCCACCTGGGGGTGAGGGGACAGGGGCTGGGGGCTGCCTGGACGCTTCATTGCCGCGTTGGCGCCCATCTCCATCAGGGTGGCTTCCAGTTCTTGGAGCGTCTCCTCCAGGCTGTCCATACGCAGCAGGGTGGTGGCCCGTACTGTTCTTCCCAGGCTGATGGCCAGCCGCTGGCCCCTACTGCAAGCTTCTGTGTCCCATTCAGAGTTCTGAGGGGTCTCCTCCGAGAGGCTCTCAGAGGTTAAAGGCTTCCGAGTCTCATCCGGGGATGGTCCCTGAGGACAGAGGACTCTGGCTTCTGCCTCATGTGGGCTCTGTAGAATCGCTGGCTCTTCTCTGGACACTGAGCCGCTTCCAGGCCAGAGTACCTCAGCTGCTAGTCCCAGCAAGGTCCGTGGGCTATTCCAAGCCCTCCCACTGCCAGCCAGGGTCCGGGGTCTTGGTGTGGGGACTGTCCTAGGACCCAGCTCCTCTAAGCTGGTCTCTGGCGGGGAGGAAGAGCTGGAGGTGCATTCTGTCAAGATGATCTGAGGGACACGGAAGACCCTGGGACCCGAGGCAGCCTGTGGGGGACAGAAAAATGAGGAAGAATGTAATCCCTGCAGAATGACTCCTGAGCTGGGATGGGGCTAAGAGATAGATGGACCCACACCCTTCCTCTCCTAATGGGGAAACTGAGTCACGGAAAGTCCTGATGATGTCACCGAATAAACTGAAGGCAAAGACAAGCCTAGAGTACAGGTGTCTTCCCATCCCCCCCCGTAACCCGTGGCCTCCTGCTTCCTGGTAACGATGCCAGCTGCAGAATCCTGGGAGTTTGTTCCTTTCCCGCCACCCAGGTTAAACTTGGGAGCAAATCCTAGGTTTCATGCTGTCCACTACAGGACAGTAGTATGGGGTGTGCAGAAAATTCAATGAGACCACGAGGACACTATTAAGTGCATCATTTGGGCAAATACAAGCTACTGGCTGAATTGAACGGAAGAGACTTCAGCTGTGTGAGCAGAGAGCAGGTGCTGGCCTCTACCTCACAGACGGAGCCATCTTTTTTCATCTTGGGCTCCTGGTCTCACCCCTGTGGGCCCTTCCCCAGGGAACTCAGCTAGAAAGGGGCAGAGCTTGGCTGTGGCCAGTTTCTTGGCCTCACACCCTGGACAATGCTCCAGCTAAGCACCCGTTTCTGTGTGTGCTCTGGGCTAGGCCCAGAGACCCTAAGGACCCTCTGAACCTGAGTGAACTCTGCCTTAGCTCTGAGTACCAAGCCTGTGTCAAGACACTATGGCTTATGTCTTCACCTCCAGTGCTTTCCTCTACCCACAAAATGACTGTCGCTCTCCTCGTCCCCACTTCACAGGTGAGGAACGTTACATGACTCACACCCTGTCTGGTTCTCAGCTAGTTAGTGGTAGAGGCAGGATCTGGACCCAGACAGCCTGGGTTCAAGTCCAGTGCTCCCTTCACTAAACAAGCCGAGACACCCCCTCCTCCTATACCTCCCGGGGCAACCCATCCAGCCCTGCCAGTGCTTACCTGAAGTAGGGTGCACACAGGGGACGCAGAGAGGGCCCTGCTCACCAGGCTCCTCTGCCTGACAGCGCCTCAGGATGCACAGGGGGAGCCAGAGAAGGGACCTTGCCTGCTAGGTCCCCTCATGACTGAGCCCCAGAACCAGAAAGGAGCGGATCTGGGTGCTGAGGACAAAGCCAGTCAGGAAGTGCCCCCTTCACACTGCTCAGCCCCTGAGGATGGCTGGGGGCTGCAGACAGCACTTTCCTCCTCCTGTCACCTGTCTGCAGCCCTGCCAGGAAACCGAAGACCACCGGGCCCTTAGCCAGATCACAAATGCTGGTGGCTGCCATCATGGGCCACCGCTGTGGGCTGGGGAAAACCGTACAAGGAAGGGGAGGGGTTGTGTGTGCTTGAGAAGTTGAGGACAGGGGAGTTCATACCCCAACCTGGCTGGGTAGAGGACAGACACCCTTCCCCCGGAGTCCCTTCTCCACCCTCCTCCTCAAACACAGTCTCCTGGAGTAGATAGCAGAGACCCACCCACCCCAAGCTCCCGATACCCACCCCCCACATTCCCAAGGGGAAATAAGGGCAGCAGGACAGCAGCAAGGACTGAAGTTAGAGAGAAGAACTATTTCCCAATGCTGAAAGACAACACCGCCAGCCAAGGGAGGCCATGAGTGCCCACGCTCCCTGACCAAGGCGGCAAGAATGGCCACAGGGCAGGGAGACGAGGAAAGCCATCTCCCCGGTCTGTCCTGAATTCCCAGTGCAAGGCATGGATTCCAGTGAGAGGGGCAGCGCCCCCTCCCCTGGCTGAGCAGCAGAGCAGGGCATAAGGGAGGGGACCACGCAAGCTCTCGGGACTCGGTCAGATTGAGTTGGACCCTAAGTCAGTTCCTGAACAAGCTCCAAATTCCAATCTTGGCCCAAGACAACTCACAGGCTTTAGACCGGCCTGAACTCAGGCTGTTAATGGGAACAAAACATCCAAGAGCTAGATAGAACCAGGCCCGGAAGAGAACTCTCGGGTCACACCACACACCCAGGCCGCAGTCTCCAAAGAAGACCCCCCCCCAGGAAGCCTCGAGAGCAAGGGACAAGTTGTGCGGTTGTGCGCTGCCCTTGGCTTGTGCAGGGGTGGAGTCCAAAAGGGCGTGAAGTCCGGGCAGTGGCAGAGGGGCTGGCGTGGGTGGCATGTTAGCGGGTTAGCGAGAGGTGCGGAAAAGGAAGCCGTGGAGGACCAGGCAGAGAGCGCCGTGATAGGTGCGGGGAGGCCCAGTTACCTTACGTGGGGAGCCCAGAGCTGAGCCCCCAGGGGACCCCATGTCCTGGGGGGACAGCAAGGTGGGGATCGGCTGGCGGCGGGGCGTGGGGGGGAGGGAAGATACTGAACTTCTTTCAAACACCTGGGGAGCAGAAGGCAGGGGCAGGTTTGGAGTACCGGCTCTAGTGAGGACCCAGGTCCTGGCTGAGTACCTGGGTACCTATGCAGAGCTGCCCAGGATGGCATGGGCCCCAGTCTCACCCCTTGGCACCTCACCATGATTGACGACCCACTGGTCCTTCAGTCTCTCTCCTCTACAGGGCCCTGAATCCAGGAATTCTGGCCTTAGAACGAAGATTTCTAGGAACCCTGTGAGCGGTGGCTTATGGTAATACAGGAGTCTGGGTCCTTTGCTCTAAGGGTCTGCAGGATTCTGGCCCCGGGGTACTCAGGCATGAGAGTTTTGGAACACGAGCTGTCCCCAGACCACCTGGGTAGGGTCTCAGTAAGCTCAGAATGTGCAGATCTGGGGCTCTCAGAGGATAGTGGGGCTTGGGGTCCCAGGGGGAATCCAAGAGACTACAGTGAAAACTCAGACCTGCCAGGAGGAACTTTAGACTGGAGAAGAAATGGAAGCTAAGAAGAATGGGTCCTGGGGCTAGCTCTCCTCTGCCTGCCCAGGGCCTGTGCCCAGCGCGGAGGAAGGCTTGGCACAAAACCAGGCCCAGCTGAGGCCTTGTCCAGCCATGCCCGACCCACCTCCAGCTCGGCAATGATGCGCTCCTCGTCGTCTTCATCCTTGATGGCAGAGGCCATGATGGGTGGTGTGGACGCAGGGCGTACTACCTCAGATACAGCCCGGCGCAGCTTCACCTGGGGCTTCTGGATCTCCAGCTCCTCGGACTCGGCCTTCTGGAAAACCAGGTGCCTATCAAGTCCTCCCTCCCTCCCTCCCTCCCTCCCCCCCTCCCCCCCTCCTCCCTCCCCTCCCTCCCTCACTAGACATTGCCAGAAAGAATACCCCCCCTCCTCCCCGAGCCTGCCAAGACTTGCTATGGGATCACACAGCCCTAGATTCCAAACCGGAAGTCAGGCTGGGTTGTCCTGACTGACTCCCATCCCCTCTGAGGTTTTTGTTTTGTTTTGTTTTGTTTTGGAGACAGGGTTTCTCTGTGACTCCCATCCTCTCCGAGATTTTTTTCTGTTTTGTTTTGTTTTGTTTTGTTTTGTGTTTTCTCTGTGTGGCCCTAGCTGTCCTAGAACTCACTCTGTAGACCAGGCTGGCCTCAAACTCAGATCCACCTGCCTCTGCCTCCTGAGCGCTGGGATTAAAGGCATGCACCCCCGCTTGGCTCAGAGGTTCTCTTAAGCTTCCCCTTCAGGTGACCCAAACCCCACCAGTTGACAGCGCACCTTGATGAAGGCTGAGTCTTTCTTGCTGGTGACCACCACTTCTCCAGTGCGAGTGGTGGTCAGGCCGTGGGAGGAAGGGAAGCTCCGGCGGGGAGGGGGTGGTGGTGGGGACTTGGAGGGCTTCTCCGTGCGGTATCGGGGCACTGTGAGCTCATCTGCAAGCAGTGGGGTCTAGGGTCAGGAACTCACCACCCCCGTGTCCACAAGTGCTCGTTTCCCCTCCTCCAGGAACGGCCAAGAGGACATCTCATCTCAGGGAGGAGAACAGCAGGACCGCTCTCTTTCCACTTCCCCATACCTGCCAACAGGCTCACCCAGCCCCGCTTCCTCCAACAGCACTCAGCTGCTGGGTGATGACAGCTCGAGCTAGGAACACTGCCGTACGGAAGTGTTCCTGGGAGGCCCTTTGCCCTGAGTTGCTGACCCAGCACGGACATCTTAACCTCCCCAGAGGTTCATGCTCGCATGCAAGCCTGGCCCGGTGTGTCTCACCGCCACAGAAGCTCCTCAGCCCTGCCAGGCTGAGCAAGCACCTCATTCTTTCTCTGAGGAGCCTAGTCCAGCTTGCTGCCCTGCCTTTCTCCAGCCTGGTTTCCATGGCAACCCACTGAAAGGTCACTCAAGCCATAACACCCTTGCCTTTGACTCTCTTGTGGCTTTCCACCAACCCAAACAGTCCAGCACCTTCCACAACCTCTCAGCCTTGCTCTGCACGAAGGCCCGTCTTAGAGCCTGTTCTGGAAAAGCCACACCCCTCCCCTGCACTTGCCACTCTGACCCCCGCAAGGTGCACCCGCTGGGAAGTGCCCGCTCATTTCTAAGGCTCCAGTGGAAAGCGCTCTCCTCCTTTCTAGGGCTGTACAGCTCAGGCCCAGCTCAGGAGATGCCCTTTTGTTCTAGGGACCCATTAGATGTGGCCTGGGACAGATGACACAACCTTTGGAGTCTGTCCTCTTTGTAACGAGGGAATGACTGGGACGACTGCAAAACCATCAGGACCAGCACCAGGAGGGCTTCAAGTAATAAGCGCCTAACAAATGTAACGGCCTGTCCACCATTAAATTCTAAGCACGGCCCCATAGATGTGGCTCGGAGGTTAAAGGTGCCTGCTGTACAAACCTCGTGACCAGAATTTGATCTCAGAGCGGAAGGAAAACATTAATTCCTACAAGTTGTCCCTTGACATCACACACACACAAATTACAAATCTTTTAAATAATAAAATAATAATAATTCTGGGGCTGGAGATGGCTCAGCAGTTAAGAGCACTGGCTGCTCTCCCAGACCCAGGTTGGATTCCCAGTGCCCACGGGGCGGCTCACAGTCCTCCGTAACTCCAGTTCTAGGGGATCCAACACTCTCAGGCCTTCTCGGGCACCAGGCACATGTGCGGTGCCCAGACACACATGCGGGCAAAACACCCACACACATAAAAATATAAACATTCTGAGCTTCTTGAAGCACCTTTCATGGCCAGGGTTGCTGGAAGGAATACATGAACCAGTGATGGCAGGACCTCTCATTCAGATGTCGCTCCCAGCATCCTGCAGGCTTGGGAGACCACGGCCCTGTCATACTTTTCAGCTCCGCCCTCCTCTCAGAGCAGCCTGACTTGCTCTCTCTCGGGCAGCGTGGGCAAGGGCCGCCTAGCTTGCATATACTCGTACCCCCTGCATGAGCCTCCAGCAGCAGTGGGAAGGAAACTGGATGGACTGCCGCTTACCCTGTCATTCTGTGCCCTGATCCTGCTAATGGGTAGCACCCCATTCTTTGGCAGCCTGGCTATCTGGCTCACTCCCCAGTGCTTGCCCCATAAGCCAAGCTCTGAGGATAGGGTTCTTTAACCCCAGGCCCTTAGATTCCCATACCTGAACCTCTTCTCCCACTGGGCTCTGTCCGGGGGGCTGCCTTCTGACCGTGGGGTGCCTTGGGGGGCTTGTGGTCCGGGGTGGGAGCAGGGCCTGGGTGGGTCTTGCTGGCACAGTCCAGGTCAGGGATGGCCTTGAGCAACTCAGCCTGTGTCTCCTCCAGCAGCCGGTTGATGTCCTTGGCGCTATACTGGGTCAGAGCTGCCCGTTTCTCCTCCCAGTCTCTCTCTGCAGCCTAGAGAGGGGAAGCAGAGCTGGGGTCAGGACTCCCAATCATGACCCCCTGACCTCCCGAGATCAGCCTCTTCCCCAGCCACATATGGTAAGAACAAGAAGAGAACTTCAGGGAGATTCAGACCCTCCTACTGGGTGCTACACACTGTCCCTGAAGCCTAGAGAGGCCACTTTCACCAAATACATCATTATTAGGCTTATTTCTGGACATTCTATTCTGTTTCATTAACTACCCAGCCTGTGTTTATGTAAGCACCACATTGCTTTAATTATTAAAGCTTTACGGCATGCTTTCTATCAAGAAGGGTAAATGCCACCAAAATGCTTTTCACACTTCTCATCCTAATCCTGAAGGGCCTCTACATGCTCCTTCAGTATCTGACCAGAACAGGTGACAGCAAGAACTGTGAGCCTAGCTCATTCCCCGCCCTGGCCCATCACCTCAACAGACACAGCTTTGTCCACGCTTCTCTTGCTGGAAGCATCCAGGCCTTTGGTGGGGTTGCTGCTCTTTGGGGTCAGAGGGGCTCCTTCGGCAGGCCCACTCAGCTCATGAAGATTCAGTGGAGGGCTGGGGGGTGGAATTTCAAAATCCAAGCCCTTGCTGAAGTCTGTCTCGGCTGCCACCTTCTTGGGGGACTGGTTCAGGATATTGTTGGGGGGTGGCCACACACCTTCATCCACTTGCCTAGGGATGGGAGAGTGAGGAACAGTTAATGAGAGGTGGGAGCCGCTGGAGGGGAGCCTGCAGGTGTGAGGAAGGCTCTGGGATCTTGCAGGAGAGATGGCAGAGCCGAAGCAGGTCTGGAGAGATGGCTCAGTGGTTAAGAGCTCTGTCTGCTCTTCCAGAAATCACAGGGTGGCTCACAACCATCTATACCCTCCACTGCCCTCTTGTGGCATGCAGTTACACATGCAGATAGAGTACTAATACACATGAAATAAACAAAGCAAAACCTTAAAAAAAAGAATTGAAGAGCAGCACCTCTAGCTAGCACAGAGAGCTCTCTGAGGAGTCCCAATAAGGGACCAGGGGTTTCTCTGGCCCTGGGCCCAGTGTGTAACCCCATGGGAAACTAAAGATGGAGGGGAGAATGACCTTCGGATCTGGGCAAGCGTGTCAGTGACCCCGCGGCAGCGTTTGAGAAGTCCATCAAGGCGTTGAGGCTCCTCCTTCAGGAACTTCACCGCCTCCACCTCTACCCGAAGCACCACCCGCATCTTACTCTGCAGGCCTGGGAAGTGAGCTGAGAGGGCAAGGGGGGTGAGCTGGTTGGGTAGGTGTAAAGCACCCAGGAGTCGGGGCACCCTGGCCAGGGCAGGCTCACCCTTGAGCTCCGTCAGCGTCTCCCCAAGCTGCTTCAGCACCAGCGCCTTCTCTTCCAGCTCAGGAGGAGGCACCAGCCGGTGGTTATGGGCCACATCCCTCTGGATCTTCTCCACTGACTTCTCCAGGTCACTGCAGGCACAGAGAGACCCTTCTCAGCCCCTCTGGCCCCAGCCTAGCCCCCTGAAATTGAGCAGCATGGAAAGAAATCATGCCACCAATCAGATCAAAGTTCAAAGCTGTAGCCAGGTGTCACGGCTTGCTCCTGTGTAATCCTAGCACCGGGAAGGCTGAGGCAGGAGGATGGTTGAAAGTTTGAGGCCAGCCTGGGATACAAAATTAAGACCCTGACTCAAACAAAACAAAAGATAAAAAAAAAAAAAAGTCCCACAACATCTAAAGCCATCCAAGCAGTCCACACGTCTAAGTGAAAGTGGAAATGCTAGGTCTCAAAGATGAGACTTTCAAATAGCTGTTTACAGGCACCAATGCTTCCCACAAGCTCTAACACACAGTAACATCAGCATTTATCTCTCCCTGCAGCCTGCAACCTCAGACTCTTCCCCAGAAGCAGTGAAGAACCTGGCAGCCATACAGAGCCTCACTGAAGCCTAGAGGTAGCTGCACGTGGCTGAGGTACAGCCACGCCTATCACCTTTTGTCAAAGGATCAGGTTTTCACCTGGTCCACTGTAAACATTGATGACCTTCCATCTTCCTAAAGCGCAAATCGGCCCCCCTCCCCCACAGTGGTACAAATGAACAATCTCAGCACTTAGGAGGATGGGGAACAGGATCACAAGTTTAAGGCCAGCCTGGGCTACAGCAAGACTCAGTCTTAAAACAAACAACTAAGACCAACAAAAGCAAACCAAGTAGACATTCTTTGTGTTAGGCTCTTAATGTGCGGGTGGGAGGGAGGCCGAGGAGAGGGCTCATTGGGTAAAGTGCTCGCTGCGTGAGGCCCTGAGTTCGGATCCCCAGCACCCATGTAAAAACTGAGCACAACTTCAGCTCCAGGACTGGGTGAAGGGGCAAAGACAGATCAATCCTGAGAGCTCGCTGGCCGGGGTCAGCAAGAGACCCCATCTCCAAAATTAGGATAGAGGGACTGGAGAGATGGCTCAGCAGTTAAGAGCACTTGCTGCTCTTGTAGAGGACCTGGGTCCGTTTCCAGCACCCACACGATGGCTCACAACCCTAATGTTTCATGGGATCCAGTGCTCTTTCCTGGTCGCCCTAATCACCAGGCATGCAATGGTGCGCACACACACACACACACACACACACACACACACACACACACACGCAAGCATACACAGAAAGTGAAATACCGAAAGCTCCTGCACAGCCACCGAATGGCTCTGGGCCTCAATCACCTCACTCAAAGATGAGTGAGCTGAGGATGGTAAGCTGGCTCAGCAAAGGTGCACACTTCCCGCCAAATCTGAAGACCTGACTTCGATCCCTAGGACCCACATGGCGGAAGAAACCAACTGACTGGACACTGTGGTGCTCATACACGTGCTGCGCACGCACGCACACACGCACGAGCGCACACACAGAGTAAATAAATGTAATTTCTTGACAGGGCATCAAAAGCTAAAAGCTCCTAGCTGGCTTGGAACTCACTGTGTAGACGCAAATGATCCACCTGAAGGGAATGTTCCACCACTAACCGGCTAATTTTTTTTTTTCCCAAGAAAAGAAATAGCTACTCTAGGCGTGCCTCCCTTTCGGCCGCTACGAGACTGAAGTCCCTGGAGTGCTCTTGCTCCTCTCTCTAGCCACGTCACCACTTTCCCTGCTTGCTTCTGCTTAGGCCATTCCGAACTTCTGAGGTCTTCCTGGGCGCTGCCCTCTCGGGCCCTTGAGAAGAGCGCACTCTCAGCCCAGAGCGGTTCAACCACCTGTACACGCATGCTCATTTCCACGCTAATCTCATCTCAGGTCTCAAAAACCCAAACTCCTCCCCTCTCCCTGCTCAGAGTTGGGGGGGGAGTCTTCTCCTGCCTCCTAATCCCCCCCCCCCAAGCCCGGGGCTCTTCTTGACTGGCTTGTGAACTCTGTGCCACTAGCCCAAGGCAGGCTAGACTGAGGTCTCCCAGTTTCCTGTCTGTTTCCCAGCACCCAGCTCCGGGTCTGGGACAGAGCAGACGCATGGCTGATCACTGTGGAACTGGCGCCACAGAGGACTTGAGTTGGACTCTCAGCTCCCACGTTGGTGGAATTTGATACCCCTGGCCTCTGTGGGAACCGGGACACACATGCGCTCCCTACACACAGATACAGATATGATACATAATTTTAGATTTTTTTTTCCGAAAGAAATTAAATATTTTCAAATCGCAGGGTGAAGAACTGAGAGAAAGAACTGCCCCAGGCAGGTAGGTCAGGCCAGTGCTGACCTTGAGTCATTCACACGCAGGGACTTGACATTCGCTCCCGTCAGGTCCTGTCTGCCGGATTTCAACTCAGCCTCCCCAGGCGTGAGTGAACTGAATCTGTTCTAACACCCGACATGTCTGCCTTCTTTCAAAGTGCTATGTCATTGATCAGTCACGGTGGCAACATCATCCAACCAGCAGACGAAGAGACGGACCAGGGCAGAGCCAAGGACAGAACCCCAAGGTTCCAAATCAAGCACTTCCTGTTCGTCAGGTGCCTTGGCAGACGAGTACACTCACTTCCTCGTACACTCACAAGCCCCGGGGATGGGAGCATCACTTCCAGCTACCACGTGGGCAAACAGTGGCTCAAAGACTAGACTACATTTCCCAGCTCGTCTTGCAATTACAAGTGGGCATTCGCGCTGAGTGCTGGCGGCTGCACACACCTTTGATCCCGGCGCTTGGGAGGCCGAGGCAGGCGGATCTCTGAGTTCGAGGCCAGCCTGGTGTACAGAGTGAGTTCTAGGACAGCCAGGGCTACACAGAGAAACCCTGTCTGGGGAGGGGGGAGTGGACACTTGACTGAGGCCTACCCAGGGAAATAGGGATGGAAAGGGCATGTGATCTTTCCAGCTCTAGCCCATAAAGGGCTCCCATGCAAGCTCCTGCTATGCCCTTTCCCTCTCTGGCTGGTTGTGAAGACTGTGGTCTTCTGGATGAGCTGGAAGGTACATGTTGACCGTGGCAAAACCTCCGTCTTGATCCCACGTGGGGGGGCACTGCTGGCTCCTCTGCCGTGTTTCCTAGTACATCATGTTTACAACGATGGATTTGCTGAACTTTGGGTGCCTAAGTGTTTCGTCTGTGTGTGTACTGTGTGGGCCTGGTGTCTTCACGTATGTGTTCTGTATGCGGGCCTGGTGCCTGCAGAGGCCAAAACCACGCACAGAACCTCTGAAACTGGAGATGGATGTGCGCCACCACATGAGTGCTGGGGACCAAAGCTGGGTCTTTTTTTTTTTACTACTGTAAGAGCAATAAGCCATCTCTCAGCCCCTTTTATTCTTCTTCTTATTATTACTATTTTGGGTTTTTGAGACAGGATCTCTCTGTGTAGCCTTAGCTGTCCTAGACTCTCTTTGTAGACCAGGCTGGCCTCGAACTCACAGAGATCCGCCTGCCTCTGCCTCCCAAGTGCTGGGATCACAGGCGTGTGCCATCACACCCGGCTTAATTTTTTTGAGGTAGGACCTCACTGTTTCCCAGGCTGGCTGAAGATATATAAGTAGCTGAGGATGACTGAGGATGCTCTGCCTCTTCCTCCCGAGCGCTAGGACTAGAGGCTCACACCACCGCACCCAGCCTACCGTCCTACTTTAGAACCATTAAACGACTCGGGAGCTTTTTGTGGTAGCATGTGAATTAATGAGGAACCCTAATGAAGGTTCGGCCTTCAAAAGGGGGGAAGGTGGCAGGCGCTCTGAAATCAACTAGTTCTCAAGGTCATACAACTATTCTGTGGTGTGGGGCAGTGTCTACTCAGTGGGACTTCAGCCTCTGGTGCTGCCTCACTTCCAGACCGAGTGATGTCACACCTGCCTGCCGTCTCGCCCAGCCCTGACTCCACCACCTCGGAAAACCACCTTCCCCGCAGCCAGCTCTGGGTCAGCAGACAGACTCCGGGAGTCAACAGGCTTCCGTCAGGGACAATATCCAGAGAGAGCCTAAGGCTTTGGCCAGACAGGCAGGCGAGTGAGCCCAGCGGGAATGAAACCAAAACCCAGGCTCAATTGCCAGCAGGATGTCAGAAAAGAGGAAGGAACAAAGGAAAATGAACATGAGAGAGAGGGAGAGAAGGAGAGTGGGAGAGAGAGAGGGAGAGAAGGAGAGTGGGAGAGAGAGAGGGAGAGAGAGGGCGAGCTCACACAGCGGCTGCAGGGGGATGTTCTTGAAGGCCAGACCAGAGCCATCAGAGGGCCCAGTCCCTGCCTCACTCAAACGAGACAAGTGCCATCTGGAGAACCCCACCAGCAGTCCCTGGGTTCTCTAGTGAGCAGTCTGAGTAATGGGTGTGACAAGGCGTAGGGGACGGGGATTTTCCATGCTCCTAGAGAACTGAAGCCCCCAGGAAGCCAGGGTCCAGACACTCACGAAGACCAGAGCATAAATCGCTCCTTTCATCCCTTTTGCCTCCGCGCTTTGATGGCTCCCTTAATTTCTCTTTAATGTCTCGGTTTAACTCCTTTTGAAAATCCTGGCCCAGCTCCTCTACGCAAAATGGGAAAAGACAAGAGAATCGGAGAAGTGGAATCCTGGAAGAGAGGATGGCGGAAGCTGGGCTGCTTAGAGAGAGGGCTGCGGTGGTCTCTAAGTTAGCACACCCGGACACGACAGTGGCCGGAGTCGCTGCTACCGCCTCATTTGGCGAGGTATCCAGGACTTAAGGTGTTTGGCCTTAAACACTGCCAAAATGCACGCCACGTTGACATGGGCCCCGAGGCTGAGCAGTGCTGCTGCTCAGGGAACTCCTGGTGAGGCTCCAGATATGACTTAGGAGGGCAGCGGCGTCCAGCAGCTTTCTTGTCTCACTGGTCTCAAGCATACAAGCCCTCAGCCGCTTCCAAAAAATGAAAAAACAACAACAACAACAAAAAAAACCTGCAAAAAGTCTTTAGTACTGGAAGCTGGAGATGGCTCCGTGGGTAAAAGCACTGCCTGCTCTTCCTGAAGGACCCGGGTTCAATTCCCAGCATCCACATGGCAGATCACAACTGTCTGTAACCCCAGTTGCAAAGGATCTGACATTTTCACGATAACGCACATAAAATAAAATTTAAAAACATTAAAAAAAAATCTTCAGTACTAATGAAGATGCTGAAGCAGAGGCAGGCAGCAGCTACCTTGGTCACATAATCCCATGATTCTGGGCTGTCTCTAGGTCCCCTACTGCCCTGTGTCATAAAAGGGACCACAAGAAGGGGAGGGGCCTTTGCCTCAGCCCAAGTAAAAGGCTGCGGTTGGCTGGCAGCTGCTGCATCTCCCTTCACAGGTGCCAGACAATGGAATTGTGGCCAGACAGCCATTTGCTAAATCTGGATCAGACCGTCTTCTGTTAACCCTTCGATGTCTAAGCAGGGCTGGGTTATTCCCAGTTCCTCCTCTTTCAAGGGGCTCTCCTTGCCGCCTGGCCTCAGGGATCAGGGCGGCCAGAGAGTCAGTAACCACCCGGGCAGGTGTCAACATCCCTGACACTCCACCTACTTGCTCAACCTAAGGGTTGAGTTCTTAAAGGCAAGCAAGGGTTAGACGGAAAACAGACAGCTGGCTTTATGAGAGCAGGCTGCAGGCCACAGGAAGCAATTACCATGGCAGAGGTAGGCACCAAGCCAGAAAAAAAAATATATTCAGGAATTATGCCAGACGGCCAAAGGTTTGTGGGTCATGGAGAAACCGGGCCACAGTGGAGGGTGAAATCAGACTTCGCAACAGCCCAACGTCCTCTGTGAGTCTGAAGACATGGGAGCTGCGCCCCCCATGTCAGTCAGGCTAGGTCACCCAGGCCGCGTCGTGTCGTCGTGTGTCGTCCTTCCCGTCCGTCCCCCCACCTCCTCCCACGGCCGCCCACGCGCGCCGGGACCCAGCCTCACTTGAGCTGCTGAGTAATGAGCTCCTCGTCGTTGAGGTAGCGCAACCGCTCCTCCTCCACCAGGGTGCGCTGCCGCTGCAGCGGGTCCTCCTGCCGCCGCGCCGCCTCCGACACGCGCATGCTCAGCTCCGCCTCGGTGCGCTTCAGCAGCGCGCGCACCGACTCCTGGTTCTGGAGCTGCGGGGCGCAAGGATGCACGCGTGGGCGGGGGAGGGGAGGAGGACACGTGTGGCCGGGGAAGGGGGGGCAGAGGGCAGCCCCGGACAAGCCAAACTCCGCAGAGGACTGGGTTTTCTGGGCTGCGGGTGCGGGTGGCCGCGAAGGCGTGGCAAGGCCGAGACAGGGATCGAGGACGGAGGTGGGGAGGACCCAGCAGGCCATCCGGGCCGGGGATGATAGAGCTTATGGAGGTGACATGACTGTGGCTGAGGCTCTGAAGCAACAGCAAAGGGCAGGACAGCTGGCGAGGGAGATCAGGGTTATATACTGGAGGAGTACGGGCGCGGAGAACGGGATCATTTGTGTGGCCGAAGGGTGCCGCGCTCAGTGGAGCCCTGACGACAGGGCGGGTGTGGAGCTGTGGACTCAAACAAGCCCCTCAGTGGAGGCAACGGGGACAGCACTCCGGAGCCCAAATGACGTGGGTGGGCGAGAGCTTAACCGTGGCCCAGATGGCAGCCCTCCGCCCCCCTTCCCGGCCTGTCTCTGCTCATTATCCTCACCTGACAAGCCCCGAGCCCCCTCTAGAAGAGCCTGCACCGTGGTGCCAGGCTCCTGACAGGTGGGACCATCTGCCAGTCAGGGCGGGACAGCCAGCCCAGGCTCAGAGAGGGGGAGCCGATGGGGACTTGGAGAAAACGGATCCTGGGGCCTCAAGAAACCAGGATCGCCTACAAGGGACAGCGCACGGGGGAGGGGCGGGCCGCAGCTCAGGGGAGGGGAGGGGGGACTGGGGTTCAGTGAAAGGTCGGGGCTTGGGGGGGGGGCTGAGATTTAACGAGGAAGTGGAAACTATAAAGGATCGGAAGAACCTATGGACCACTGAGTTTTAAGGGACTTTGCTAGCGCCGGATGGTGGGGGAGGGTGGGACAGAGCCTGGGGAGGGGAGTTACAGCCAGGGGGCGGGGATGGGGGGGGGGGGGGGGCCGGTACCTGGAGCTTGCGCAACTGCTGGAGCTGGCCGCGCAGGTCGCTGGCGCTGTTCTGCAGGCCTCGCAGCTGCACCTGCAGCTGTAGGCGGCTGGCGGCGCTGGGCTGCCCTGCTGGGGTGCTGCTGGCCGAGGGCGGGGGAGGGCCGGACACCGGGGTGGCCCCGCTGCTCCGACCGCCCGACCCACACGCTGCCGACGGGGACCAGAAGGGCGAGCCGTGAGGGGGGCGGAGCGGCGGGGGAAGGAGAGGGGGGCCCCACACCCAGCCACGTGGCCCTGACCGTCTACCCCGAGCGGAGGCGGGTCCTGGCGGGGGGGTGACCTGGAAATGCGTGGAAAAGCCCCCACGACGCGGCTGCTCGCTGAGACCCCGTTTGAGGATTAGGAAACTGAAGCCTAGAACTCTGGAGAGGGAGGGGAGGGGCACTCACGTGCTGCGGGTATGGCTGCCCCGTCGGAGCCTTCAATCTTCTCACTGCGGCGGAAAGAGAAGAAAACGGTCAAGGAGGCTCCGGCTGGCCCCGAACCTTCAAAGCTGCACGGGCCCTCAAAGGTCACCCCAGCGCCCCGGGTGGACAGAACGGCGGGAAAGAGAAGGGACTCGCTCGGGGCCACGCTGTAAACACAGGGCCTCACCTTGGGGTCTCGGGCTCTGAGCCTCGCAGCAGGGCGCTCTGCACTAGCCCCGTGAGGCTGGCGATCTGCTTCTCCATGGCCTCCATGCGCTCCCTGGGGGAGGAAGGCGGGTCTGAGCGGACCTTCCCGCGGGCCCTGCCGCCCACCCGGAGGACAGCCGGTCTCCCCCCCGGCTGCCACACAGGCCTCTCTCCACGGCCTCCCTCAGGGCACGTCAAGCCCGAGATCCCCAGCGGAGGATCGCGGGGGCTGATGCAGGAGGATGGCCGGAAGCTTGAGTTGGCCTGGGCTACGCAGCAAGTCCCTGTCCCCACCCCGAGCCCGCGCCTGTGGATTTCAGCTGGTTCTGTGCTGGACAGCTCTCAGTGCTGGGGGGAAAAACCGGCAGGCTCGCCCAGCCTTCCCGTTTTACTGCTGTGGGTAAACTGAGGCCTGGGTCTCTGCAGGCATCACCGGTCCCTCCAACGTCCTTCCCGTGACCCACGTGCAGCCACCCTCCGCGGCGTCCCCACCGCCACCCCCCGTGGTCTCACCTGGTCTCCGTGTCCTTGGCTGGCACCGGCGGCCCGAAGCCCACGAGGGAGCGCTCCCCAGGCCCGGGGAAGAGGTCGGGAGGCGGCGGGCCGGCCGCGGAGGGGCCCCCGGCGCTGCGGGCCTTGCCCCCGGGGCTCTCGGCGAACACGGACGACGAGCCCGAGTCCTTGCGGAAGGACTGGCGCACGGGCGAGCCGCGGCTGGGGGGCCCCGAGTAGGGGCTGTGCGGGGGCGGGGGGCCCCCGGAGGGCGCCGCCACGTCGGCCAGCTTCTGGGGGGACGAGGGCGGCAGGCGGAAGCCGTAGCCGTCCCCGTAGAGCGCGCCCCCGCCGCCCCCGCCGCCCCCGCCCGCCGCCTTGTAGAGCGAGTCCTCCAGGTCGGACTGCAGCGCGGCGGCCGAGTAGGTGCTGAGCGAGCGCAGCGAGCCGCGCTTGTACAGGCCGCCCGCGCCGGGGTAGGCGAACGGGTCCCCGCCGGCCGCCGCGGCCAGGCTCAGGCGACCCTCGTGCAGCAGCCCGTAGGGGTCGGCGTAGAGGCCCTCGCCCTTCACCAGCACCATGCCGCCCGCCTTGGCCGCCAGGTCCTCGTCGGGCTTCACGTCCCGTCGCTCCAGGATGGCGCTGGGGCTGGGGCTCACCCCCTGACCGCCCGGGGCGCCCCCCAGCCGCTCGGCGGCGTGGTGCACGGGGCTGCCGGCGTAGGAGGGCGGGCGGCCCCCGGCGTACGACAGGCGGGAGCGCGAGGGCGAGCCCGACGGCAGCCCCGACGGCAGCCCCGGGGGCGGCGAGCCGGAGGCCAGGTGCGAGGCGGGCGACAGGTTGTTGAGGCGCCGCGTGGGCGACGACTCCCGCGACGCGTACACCATCTCTCTCTGCGAGGGAGACGGCCCGGGGGCCCACGGGGCTGGTCACTAAGGGGGGGACCAGCCCCTTCCCGTCCCTTCCCGCCCCCAACCGGGCTCAGGAAGGCCCCTCGGCTCTGGGTTCTGCCTTCCCTCTCCTACAGCGTCCCCGGCCCCTGGCAGATGGAGAGGGCTCAGTCCACCCTTGATGGGAACCGGGAGGGGAAGAGAAGAGGGCGTGGCCGGGAGGGCGGCCTCACGGCATCTAAAGGCCTAGAGAAACCCTTGGGCGGACGGTGGGGAAGGTAGAGCCGAGCGCCGTGGGGTGGCCAGCCTCCCAGTTAACCCGGGCACCCCCGTCTCAGCCTGGAAGCTCCCACCTCCGGAGCCGCCCTGGCTCCGCCTCCGGCCTCGACCCCGCCTCCGGGTCTCCCCGGTGCCTCGGGCGCGCCCTGGCTTACCCGGAGGTCACCGTTGGTGAGGTGCGAGCCAGGAAACGCGGCGTAGAGCGGTTCCTTCCTGTAGATCTTGATAATACTTCGGTCCTGGATGTCTCTGTCGGGTAGAGAGAGGGACGGAGGGTCACTGTGTGTGTGTACCCCCAAGCTGTGCGCAATGAGGAGGGGGGCGGCAGCTACTTTAGGCAGACAAGAGGGCCTGATACCTAACCTTTTCCCCTTTTCCTAACTCTGTCTCCTGGTACCTTGAGATGCCTGCCAAAAGCACAAGTGTGCAACACACCAGAGAGAGAGAGAGAGAGAGAGAGAGAGAGAGAGAGAGAGAGAAGCTCCACCTATTCACTTTCCCAGCTTCCCGCCAGAGGAAACCACAGGAAGGATGGTTTAGCACAGAGGGCGGGGCTCTGGGGCTTGGGGGTGGGGCAAAGGGTGGAGAGAGGGTGCAGAGCGCTCTGGGGAAGGGTCAGCAGGGGTCCAGAGCCCTTCAGGAGGACCGTGGGGAACCCCACCCCCGCCCCCCGGGGGCCGTGCCCACCGGACATCCTCCAGCTCGTAGAAGACGTTGCGCGCCTCGTCTTTGATGAGGATGGCGGTGTTGGGCGACTTGAGCATACCCATGGTGAGCTTCTGCGGGAACATGTGCGCGATGAGCGCGTGCAGCGTGTCCAGGCTGCTGACCTCGTGAGTGATGTGCACGCGTCGCGTCTCCTCCCCGAACTGCAGGAACAGGACCCCTGCGAAGGAGACGCGGCCCGCGGGGTCACTGCCTCGGTCGGCCCGCGGCGAGCCCGGAGACTGCGGAGAGCCCTCAGGAGCCGCCTCGGTCCCACAGCGGCAAGGTCTGAGGCCGGAGGCCGCTCCCGGGTGCAGGTGCACCCACGCGCTCCTCATGGCCGCGGGTTCGCGGCCCGCCTCTCAAAAGTACCCCACCGGACCCCGGGCAGCTGGAGTCTGGACGCGGAAATGGGGCTGGGGGCCAGGAACTGGTGGGGCAGAAACTGAAGGGAAGTCGGGGAAAGTTGGGGAGGCTGGCGAGAACGCCGGGAAAATGAAATGGGGGGAGGGGCGGGAGAGCCTAGAGAAAGAAAACAAGGATTGCACAGAGAGGAGGCTGAGGGAGGGGAGCGTAAGGGCCGGCGGGGGATGCTAAGGTATAGCAGAGGAGAAAGGGCTCGGAGGACAGCGAGGACTTCAAGGAGGTGACAGCTCTGGGGGAGGGAGGGGCAGGAGCTGGAGGAGCGAAGGGCGGGGGAAGCCGGAGGGAGGAGCTACGGCCCGGCCGGAAGAGCAGCAGGCTGGGTGGTACCTGGTGAGCGCAGCTTGGTCTGGCTGGCCGAGCGGGAGAGAGGCAAGCTCTGTCGGAAGCGGTTCATCCTGCTGAAGCCCAGTGGCAGCTCGGCCTCGGACATGGTCTCCAGCGACTCAGCCGAGGCGTAGGACAGCTTGGCTGCCTGGTCTGCCAGCCCTGGTTGGGCTCCCTGAGTGTGGCGCGAGCTGCGGGTCTGCAGGGGCGGGGCAGGACGAGAGGCACCAAGCGTGAGCCCTCCACACCCCCATTCCATGCTCTGCCACTGCCTCCATCGGGCCCCGGAGCTCCGGCCAGCCAGCAACACACACACACACACACACACACACACACACACACACATTCAGAGAAGGGTTCTCTCTCCTGTGGTTCCAGACTCGGTGGGTAGCTGCAGAAAAGAGCCCCCAACTTGTCTGCCCCGGGACACCCAGCAGGTAGGTAGTAGGCCGAGGACTGAGGCACCCTGGGAAGCCATTCAAGAAAGCATCTGAATTGGACCCATGGGCACGCCTGCTATTTTAGGCTTTCCAACGAACAACAACAACACAAATTTGTCACCGAGGTGAGCAGCAGAATTGTTGAGCAAATTGGAGCATTAGTTCCAGACATTAATTAAGCGGCGGGTTGTGTGAGCGGCGGATTTATTCTTCGTGGAGTTCAGGGGCGTTGGGGGGAGCGGGGAGAAATCAAAGAGAATGAGGGACCCTAAGCTTTCAGCCCGTGGGATCCGGAGTCACTGACTTCAAGGACTTAGTAACTCGGAGAGTCTCCAGGCCCTTGAGTCAACTGGACCACAGTTTAAACCGTACATGAGCACGCCAAGCCAGGTGCCACACCCGCAAATTTACCGTGCCAGGCTCCACCCCTCCCTGGGATACACACACTGTCACACAGCCTGGCTGGCCTCCCCTAGGCAGTATGACCGCCCCTTCCCTAAAGCTAAGGCTGAGAGTGACCTCCAGCAGGGGCAGGAAAGAATGTCACAGATATAGCTCAGTAAATCCCTACCTTCCATCCCCAACCCCTCCCCCCAAAGTAAAGATGTAACTCAGTGGGAAAAATGCCACAAGAAGGCCTGACCTCTGTTTCTTGGGAGGGTGGTGTCTCTCCTTATCTCAACTGTCCTTCTAGATCCAACTTTCTGGCTCTCACCCAGCCCCACAACTTCTACCATTCTGCTCTAGAATCTACACTCAACCCGGCTACTGTATAGCTAGCTACTCCATGGTTTAAACTGTTATTCTTTTGAGAAGGAGAGTCTCACTAATGTAGCCTTAGCTGCCCTGGAACTGGCTAAGTAGAGCAGACTCAGAGATCCACCTGCCTCTGCCTTCCCTCTGTTGGGATTAAAGACGTGCTCTACCAAGTTTGGCTCTCATTTAAGTGAATTAGGGGAGTAGGACAGAGCTGTGCCATTCTGTGGTATGTGCATTATACATACACATTAGCTTACTACCATGAAAAAAAAAAACAAAACATGTTATCTAATTGTACTTAAAGAGACTTATTTTCACAGGCAGGTATGTTGGTACATGCCTATAATCCCTGCACAGAAAAGGCTGAGGCAGGAGGATAGCCATCAGTTTGAGGCTAGCCTGGACTACAGTATGAGACCTAGACTGAAAACAAACAAACAAACAAACAAAAGTAAACAAACTTATTTCTAACATTTAAATCACATAAATCACTTAAAACCATCCACATCAGCAATCTCAGGTATGAGAGAGCTTTCTGTATTCATTTTCTTCCTTTATGAAGCTGAACAATTTTGAACAATTAGAACATATTACTTATACAATTTAAAAGACAATAGCAAAGGCACAGCTCTCATTTTGCATTGTGTTTTTGAGACAGTGTCTCACTAGGTAGCTATGGCTGTTCTGCCAAGCGCTTGCTGTATAGGCCAGGCTGGCCTCACACAGGCTGTCCATCCTCCTGAATGTGGGATTACAGGCAAGCGCCACCCAACCTAATAAACATAGCCTCTAAAAAGGAATAATTTATTTACCTGTTTAGTTCCTTCTTCACCCCCTCATCTTGATTACACCCTAATTAATCCCCATCTTCATATTAAGTCAATTTGATATTCCAATCCAATTAGCACTCTCAGAAAGGGAGAGCATATTCCAATAAGCCATATGCCCAGCTGTCCTCAAAGTGGCCTTGAGAGCTTGGAGGGGGGGATATGGAAAATCAGATTTGAGGGGTCACCAAGGGTCTTCCAGACTCAAGCACGACAACTTGGCCAGCAACGAGGGGATGGGCTTTGGAAGGAAAGAGGCCGTATATGAGCTGGGCCTGCTTGGGAGGGTGCATACTGTGGAGCCCAGGCTGCAGCTTCAGCTCTAGGCTGCCCAACAGTGACAGGGATTCTCCCATCTTCATCCCCAGAGAAGCCACCAGTGAGACGCCTATGCAGTAGTCCGGGAGTGTGGACCAGGCTGGTAGGCATGGGGTTGCCAGGCAACTGAAAGGTCAGTGGCAGGCTGGAGCCGATGAGGGGCTACAGCATGGAGCGGTTGGCAAGATGAGAAAATAGGGGTGGCCACTGGGAGGAGGGTGGTACAAATGAGAGGTGAGGGAGAGGAGGGCATGATGATGGACAGGGTCCTGGGGGTGGCTGGCCACAAAAATAGGAACTATGGGATAGCCACACCCCTTCCTCTACTAGCTCCTGTCTCCTCCCTCCCCACCGGCGTCTTTCTATCCTTTCTACCTTTACAGAAAATCCTAAGGAAAGGGAAAGTTTATTAATACTTCTTTCTGCTCCCCCACCAGACCACCAAAGAAAAGAAAAACGAGACATCTAGAAGGCACTAGCAGGCGTGTCCAACTTCTGACATGGCAACGTGGCGATGTCATCTACCAAATTCACACTTGAGAACTGAACAAAAGTTACCAAAAAAAAAAAAAACAATCACAAAACAGATCTTATGTTTCAAATAAGTTGACACTGACAGCCACAGGTGGCCTGCTGGTCATGGGTTAGAAATGCTGGCTAAGGGAGATGGCAAGAGAAGGAAACAGGAATTCAAACAGAACCTGAATACGGGAAGGGGCTGCTATGGGAGGCAGTGGTTGGATCTGTTCCACCAAGGAGCTAATGAGACCTGGACTTGGGCCAGGCAGAGGGAGCCAGGGCTAGGATGGTCAGACAGAGCTCTGCACTCCCAACAGCTGTGTATGGAGCTGGCCAGGAGCACCTGGGAGGTGCTCACGAGCTCTCTTTCCAGGATTCACCGTTCTTTAATGGTAATCTCTTGTAACTGGGCTTCAAGACTTCTTATGAAACCCTAAATTGTAGCATCCAGAGGTTGGAATCAGGTCAGAGCCCATGACTAATGAAGTCAGCTACCGGGTAAAGCTTCCTTAACAGAGCAAACTGCCTCGGACATGCGTTTTTCTCATCTCTTCAATCTTTCAGCCACTCTGAGTCAGCCCTGATGGTACACGGTAAGTGAGCAGTTTAGGTGACTGAGACAGGAAGATCACAAATTTAAGGCCTGCCTGAGCTACAGAGGCAGTTCAAAGTCAGCCTGGACAACGTAGTGAGACCCTGTCTCAAAATAAAACGTAAAAGGGGGTTGGGATACCGGGTATGGGGATGCACACCTTTAATCCTAGCACTCAGGAGGCAGAGGCAGGTGAGCTGGAGGCCAGCCTGGTCTATACAGGCTGTTCCAGGCCTGCCAGGGGGACAAGTGGGTGTGGGGGCCAAAGAGGACAGAGTGTCTTGAGGGTGCTCCCCCAGAGGCACCATGATGTCCTGGGGATGGGGAGACAGCATTCCAGTTCTCAGTGATACTGTCCAGAGGAAAGCACCCATTTCCTGGGCCTGGCCCCCAAGGGGAACAACTTTAAGAGTACAGGACAAGTGTGTCGCCTGGTCCTGACTGTGGTGGGTAGTAAGAAAGGCAGACAGTAGGCCTTCCTAAGAGGGACACGGTAAGTTCAGGGTCCAGGGCCTACAGGGAACTCTTGAGTTCAGGTCCCTGCCTCTATCCGCACCCTCTCTAGGCTGAGAAGTGTCAGGAGCTCTTCTCATCCTAAAATACCCCTAACAAGCTTGGGAGAACTGGGGACTTGAGCATCAATAGGCCAGACCTCCAGAGGAAGTGGCAAAACTCCCGCTCTGGATCCATAGGCCCCTGGCAGACAAACCCAGGCTCTCCCCACCCCCCAAGCAGCAGCCATAGCCGGCAGCCCCAGGCCCACCGCCCAAAAAGGAGGGGGTCCCGTGCACACCCCAGTGCGAAGCGTGTGCAAGGCAGAGGCGGGGAGGGGAGGGCAAGACATGCAGTTGTCATGGAGGCAGAAGCATCGCGCACTGACCTTGAAACTCCAGTAGTTTGGTTGCTGATGGGAATAAGAGAAGAGATGGTTACAAGGGGGGCTGCCAGGAAGTGGGACAGGGACAGGTCGGAGACTGTCGGTACTCAACACCCAGGGACATGAACCTCCACCCCCTGGGGAACCAACGCCAGGCAATGCCGGTGCCTCTCACTTCTCCCGTGAGGCTGGAACATTCCAGTTCACCAAGGATGGGCAAGTTCCAGGCCTGCTGGTTGGGGAGCAGGATAGAGCATGTCAGATGTTTTAAGTGTCTTTCTAGACCTAGAAATTGACTTCAGAGAGAGCTACAGGTGAGAAAGAGCATAGATGACCATGAGGCGGTCAAAGGTTTAAAGGGAGGGCAGTGAAAAACCTGGGCCGTGGGATAAGAGATGGCACTCGTTGTGGGAGGCCAGGTGAACTGTCCCAGAAAAGATGGCATCCCAGCTCTGCTGGGAAAGGGAAGAGCTGAAGACCGGGGAGAAAACTGTGCTCAACATAGCAGCTTAGGTAGGTACCCTGGAGTAGGCATGGGGCCTGGGAAGAAGCAGAAGGGGGTGAGGGGTCAAAGGGGGAGGCTAGATGCTGGAGAGCCTCCAATGGGAGTGGCATCTACAGACCAGAGTGCAGAAAACACAGAAAAGGGAATGGGACTCCGGTTGGGCCGAGGGCAGGGAGTAGATGGTGGTGGCTGGGACCAGGGCCAGGGCAGGCAGGCCTGTGTGCCAGGATGTGCAAGGATTGTGGAGAAAAGTGGACCAATGCCAGTGACCTCTGGCACTGGGCAGCGGATGGGGAGCTCGGGCAGCACTTGAAACTACAGAGATGGCGGAGAAGAGTTGTAAGGGGGCCGGAGGCTTCGCTTCTCCTAGCTCTCAGTAACCCAGGGTCGCCCTGCCCTCCCTAGAGACCAGAAGGCCCTTCCAGATGGCTAGCAACAAGGGAAGGACAACCCTGAAGGCGGGCTGGTTCTTGGCAAAGCTGAGGGTACCCTGCTGACCGGTGCCAGCCTCAGCAGGAGGACAGAGGCAGCAGATGGCCTGTCCCCAGGGTGCCTGGCACGAGCAGAAAAGATTCCCCAGGCCTCAGAGCCACCGGCAGGGGAGAGAGGCCTTGAGGGTTCCTGCTGGGAAGACACCATGCTGTGGGGCCCTGTCCCCCCGGATGTTATGGGTGCAGGAAAGAGCTGGTAAGGGGGTAAGGATGGCTATTGCTGGCTAGACTTTATGCTAGCATCTCCTTAGGGTGGGCATGATACCAACCTGGATCTGGGGCAAAGTTTATTTCCCATCACCCCGCACACACACCTGATCCTCGATTCCTATCTCTCCAAACTTACTGGCTCCAAAAGATGAAAAGCCGGCACATTTCAGGCAGGAAATCAACAAAGCCTGTATGGACACGGGTCACCCCCGTGGTGCCAGGGGATGCCCTCGGGTGTCACAGGAAGGGACGAGGCTGAAAGACTTGAGTCACAGCGTCTGTGACCTCGGATAGAAGGGGAAGCATGGACAGTAGACTCCCAGGGGACAGCAGAGCCAGGCTGAGGACCCAGAAAGGTTTACGTCGAAAGTTATGCCCGCAGACCAGGAACCATGGACGGCTCTGCTGACAAAGCCCCGTTCCGTCCCCACCCTACAGTGGGCACAGGAGCCACCCACAGCTGCCTGAAACATGCATGTCCCTGCGGTGAGCCGGCAGAGTAAGAAGCATCCCTGTCTACCCAAGGATGTCACAAACAGAATGACAAACACACCCACCAGGGTGGGCAGCCGTAAGGGAAGCGGTGAGACATGGCCCCAGGGACACACAGCAACTTGGAGATGTCCACACGGAGGCCACCTCGGTTCAGACCCACATGTACCCCTGAGGACCCTAACTAGCAGGATGCCCAGTCAAAGACACAGCACACCACAGAGCCATAGAGGCAAGGACACCCATTCACACACATGCGAAAACACCAGCGACAGAAATATACACAAAATAGCACACAGAGGCCAGCAAGACAGCTCCGTGGGTAAAGGTGCTTGCGGCCAACCCTAACGATCTGAGTCCAATACCTGGAGTTCACACAGTGGAACGAGAAAACCAGTTCCCCCACATTGCCCTCTGACTTACACACACACACACCACAGCAAGCACGCCCTACCCCACACACACATACTGGGTAAATGTAATTTTTTTTTACTAAAGCAATATATGAAGCACACAAAGACTCAGAGAAAATGCAGTTGGGTCTGGACATTTGCGGCACCTTTAGCCAGTATACAATGGCTCTAACGGCCACATCCTCATGTGTCGGGGGGTTGATATCCTAAATCAAGAAAGGTAAAGGTTGCCCCATCCCAAATTCTGCCATCAGTCTCAGCACAAGGGACTCAGGGTACCTAGTATAGACAACTGGGACCCAACTGGTGTTCCTAGAAGATGGGCAGGAGATCTGGCTATAGCCTCGCTGACTATGTCCTGGCTGTGGGCTCCAAGCCTGGACACGCCCACTAGTCAGTACCTGGAAGGCTGAGGGTCACAAACAGGCCCAAGGGAAATAACAAGGTGACACCAGCATCTGGGAAAGGTCATCCTAGGTCTGGGATGGATATGGATGGAAGAGAAGCTACGTTTGTGTTTGGGGGACTTGGACCAGGACTTGCAGCTCTGAGTGCCAGAGCTTTCTTAAGGGAACCTCGCCTCCTTCCTTGGTCCTCTCTTCAAACTGGGAAGAAGGATCCTTTCAAGTGGCCCCAGCAGGAACCAGCTACTCTGTCTCCCAGCAACTCACTGTCCTTGAAGGGGAACACTGCATCGGGGAGAAGCCCCTGGAGAGATGGGCCATTATCCACCCTTCCAGGTGTTACCCCATGGGACCGCCCCTGCTGACAGGGAGCAGAGGCTCCTCCCCTACTGTGCAGGAGGGACACCTCTGATCCTCGCCCTTACCCCCTTCCCAGCTGTGGGGTCCTTCCTCAGCCCGTGCCTAACACATACCGACCAATCTGTGGCAATGAATAAATGCCAACTAGGCAAACCAGGCAAGGCCAGCAGAGAAGTGGTTCTAAATACTAGGCCTGGCCCTACTCCCTCCATCTCCTGGCCCCTGGTCTAGAAAAGCCCTGAAAAAACGGGAGGGACGGTGGTGGTGGTGGCGCATGCCTTTAATCCCAACACTTGGGAGACAGAGGCAGGTGGATCTCTGCGAGTTCAAGGCCAGGTTCCAGGACAGCCAGCTACATAATAGAAAATTATCTCAAATTATCTCAAATAAATGAACAAATAAATACAGGAGGGGTCGGGGTCCCTCTGCCCTTTGCCCAACAAAACCTCACCAAAGCCTTAAGTGTGGGGAGGGCTGACCTTCCCAGAACTCAGAAACTGCAAGAGAAAGAGCTGAACAGGAGAGAAACTGGCAAGAGCAGACGCTGGTAAGGGAAAGCTTACAGGAGCCAGGGCGAAATGAGAGGCAACCATCCCTCAGGACCAAGCTTTCAGCCATGGGGGAGGGGACTTCTCCCAAGGTGCCAAGGAAGCAAGCTACAATCCCCATACCCCCACGGAGTGGAGGAAACAGCTTTTCCCCCTCCTCACACCTCTCCAGGACGGAGTCTTGGGGCTGTCTCTCCCCCTCCTCCGCCCATTCCAACCCTGGAGGGGCGGGACAGGTCCCCGTCCCCCCGCAGGACCTTACCTCCGCTTTTTCCCCCTCTCCTTCCCCTGGGCAGGCGTCCCGGGGTAGGCCAGGCGTCCTCATGACCCCTTCTTGACCTCGGGGCCCCTCAGGGAGCATCCCCCAGAGAGGAAGGCAGCCCACGAGTCGAACCCCCTTCCTCAGCCCTCACACGGTCGCACACACCCATCTCCCAACTCCTGTGAACCCGAGTCCGCGTAAACGCCCGCTCTCGACCCGGGGCTACGCCACCGCCACGCCGCCGCGCGCGGCCCTCCCCCGGGGGTCTGCAGCGACACCCGCAGCCCCGAGCCCTGCGGAAGCTGAGCGTGCGGGGAGGGGGGCGCGCTGCGGGAGGCGCGCGGCGCCCGGGGCCGGGGCGCACCCCGGAAGGTCATGACTTTCTGAGGTTGGGGGAGGGGGCGCCTGCCGCATTGGGGGGCGGGGGGGGCCGACCCACGTGGAAGGCACCTGCTGCGGTGGAGGAAGAGAGGGGGGCGTTCCTCCGAGATCGGGAACCCGCCGCGGTCGCGCGCTCCCCGCACCCCCCCCCCCGCACCCCTAAGACCAACCAGTCCTTCTAACCGCGGATCGGGGACTCGATCTCCAGGTCCCCGCCCCCCTCGGCCCCCCACCCCCGCCGAACCCCACGCCGGGCCACCGAGTTCCCCACAGCGGCTCACCCTTACCTGTGGCCACAGGTGCACGCTGGGGGTCGGGTCCCAGGTCGGGCGGGGGAGGGAGGACGGCCCGCTCCTCCCGCCCGCGCGGGCTCTCCCCTCCCCCGGCTGCCTCCGCAGCCGCCGCCGGTGCCCTTTGCTGCAGTGCCAGAGCCGCCGCCGCCGCCGCCGAGCCGGCCCGGGCCCCGGTCGCCCCGGTAACCGCGACTCCACCTGGCGCGGCGCGTAGCGCTGCCGTGCGCATCCCCTCTCGGTCCCCCTCCCGCGGCGCGGCCCCGCCGGCGCAGCCCCGCAGAGGAGCAGGGGAGGCTGGTGGCTGCGTCGCCGCGGTCACCCGATCTGCCGGCCCGCCGCCCGGGACTCGGGTTGCAGCAGGAGGGAGGGAGGTTAGACAGCCTGAGCGCGTGGGGGAGGGGCTGTGGCTTGGTCTAACCTCTGGTCCCTTCCCAGGATCCTCTTCACTGCACTCATCTCTAAAGGACTTGGCTACCCCCACCTTCCCAGCCCTTGGTCTCCTCTCAGCAGCGCCCTTTTGCCCCTTTAATCCTTCCATGACTTAATCCATGACAGTCTGGGAGGCCTAGGGATGCCTAAATTTCCTTGTTGGCCTCTGATTCATGCCTTGCTGTGTGATTCTGGCCCTTTGCTGGAACGTCTCTGTGCCTTCGCTTTTCAAATAAATAAATAAATAAATAAATAAATAAATAAATAAATAAATAAATAAACCTTAGATTGGGGAAGAATATGATAAGCCATATCAAGAGATGACAAGATCCCCGGCTTACTGTTAAGCGCTGAGGCAAAGATTCCTCCTTCCTCCATCAGAGCATGACTCCAGACAGACCTTAACTTAACCATAGGACAGAGCTGAGCCCACTCGAGTCCAAGCTCAGGGCTGCCCTTTGCCCAAAGCCCTAATCCGACCACACACTCCATCCGAGGGACCTGAGGCACAGGGACTTTCCTGTCCATCCTGTCTCCTGCCCATCAGCATCATCGTCCTAACTCTGCCTGTGGTTTCCACCACAGGCACGGCCTCTCTTTCCCACCTACCATCCAGCCTTAAGAACAGACGAGTCTGCTGTTCCTCCATTCCACAGGTTCAGACAAAATGGGGCCGAGAGCCGGAAAGGAAGCGGCTCCGTGCCCTGAGAGTGATGCCCAGTATGTCAAGCTATTCCTCTCCCTCTGCCCAGGTGCCCCAGCCTCTGAAGGCTCATCATATCCTAGCTGCTCACGGACATCATTGCATTTTCCTTGGGAAAGACGGGAATGAGTGTGTGAAGAACTGGGCCTCTTCCACTCAATAAACTGGCAGCCGCTGCCCTCCTCCTACCCAGTGCAATAACCACCAAGTCCGAAACAACCTGGCTCCGGGTACAGCTTGAACTCCTGGTCCTCCCATGCCTGCTATTTCTCCCCTGGCAGTGTCCAGGCCTGAGCTGGGAGCATACGCTGATATAAATCCTCCTGTTGGGGGAAATGAGGCTCAGCGAGGAACAGGGAAACAGGCTCAGAAGCAATGGCTAGATGCCCTGGTTCTTTTTAAAAACGGCAAGAAGGGTGAAAGACGCCACACAGAACTTCCTGGTGGTCGGAAGGGGTTGGGGGGAAAGGCGGGCTCCACTCGGGACAGAAGAGTGGAGCACAGACAGGGCAACAAGATGAGGATAAGAGGCTCCCAGGAGCCCAAGGAACAAGACTAGGTGCTCTTGTTTAAAAGAGAGAAATAACTATTTATTAGTTCATTGATTTGTTTTTAAATTGTAGCTACCCCTCAAAAAGGTTCCAGCTAGATTTGGGAAGGTGATGGGAAAGGATCCATCAGCAGAGATGTGATTTACAGGGCATGGAAATTTCCTGAAAATGGAGGGTTCGTATATGAAAGAGAAGGGGTACAAAATTAAAAAAAAAAAAATTCAACATCCCCCCTACCAAAAAAAACCCCAAAAAAACAAAACAGGGCTTTGCCAAAGCCAAGCTCTGCCACGGATTTTGCGCCATGGATTGTGTGGGGAAATTTGTGGCTCACCTGGGCAGGCTGGCCAGCCCCGGAGGGGGTGGAATCGCCGTGGAGGTGGGAACAGAGGGAGCTGAGGAGGCACACAGGGTCCACGGTCCAGCCGCCGACCTGTGTGTGTGAAGCAGGGGACACCCCATTAGGGGGAGCGGGCAGGAGCCGCTGGGGACAGAAGCAGACAGGATGGACTTTCCCCGGGCAAGCCCTGGCACACAGAAGAGGGCCAGAGTTGTGGTGGATCCTCCACAGAGGCTGGTACTCTTAACTAGGGCCCCAAGGTTTTCGGCAGGACAGGACAGGGCTTTCCCCCACCTGATAGAATCCTGATTTCCAGTTCCCAACTGCCTCCTTGCACACTCAACATTTGCCTCCTCTCCTCCCTGAAGAGGTCACCTCTGGCCTCACAGTGATGGGGATCGCTGGGCAGCAATGACCTCACTCCTGTTGTCTCTTCCATCACTGTAGAAGTGACTTCCTTCTCCTACTCAAGGCCACCAGACTTGACTCCTCCAGGACCATTTCCTCCTACCCCTGGCCCTCTGGCTCCAGAGTCATCTCTCTGTCAACCGACCACTCCTTCTCCAAATGTTCTCCCAGCTTCACACCATCGCTGCACCATGCTCGGGTACCCCGCCAAACTGAAAGGGGCCCTGGTCCTGCCATTGAGCCTCTAACGGAGCAGATGGGGGCGGGACAGATGAAAGGGATGGACCGGATCATGAATGAGCTTCCGTTCACTCCGTACGAACTTGATAATTCCTTGCTGACTGCTCACCAGCCTCCTCCTACCAATGCACAGAAGTGCTTCAGGCCAGGCCTCGTGCCCCTTGAAGCTGCCACCTGGCTACTCTCACCTTTTCTTTCTGCTAATCCTCAGGGACAGGTGTGTAACCCGAGTGTCCGGTTTCTCACCACGCCTGGTCTCCAAATCATTGAAACTGACCTCTGCGCCTCTTCACGCTTCTGCCTAGACTTCTGGAGCGAAGGCACCACAGCCTTGTCTCTGACCTTCCTAGTCTGCTTTAATGGTCCTCTCCTGTCCCACTCCCAAGACTCCTGAAGCCATGGTCCCTCTGGAGTCCAGAAATGTATGTAAGGCATCCCCTTGGCCTCCTGGAAGCTCCCTCCCAACTTCCCACCCATCTCTGTTTCTTTCCCAGGAACTGGCTTCTCCTCATCAGTCAAGAACTTGGTTTTAGTTCTCATGTAGGTCTCATGTAGCCCAAGTTGGTAGCTGAAGATGGCCTTGAACTTCTGGTTATTTTCCCTTCCTCCGCCCCCAGAGTAATGGGATTACAGGCGTGCACCGTTACAGCCGGTTTGTGCGGTGCTGGGAATCGAACCCACAGCCTCTGGCCAACCAGGCCAGCACTTCCTACCAACTGACCTTCACCCCCAGCCTGTGGGGTTTTTGTTTGATTGTTGTTTTTTTTTTTTTTTCTGTCATTCCCTTATAGGTCCAGACAACCAACAACCCTTGCTCAGTCTCCCCTCCCACCTTGTCCAAACACCCCGTTCCTTCCTCTCCTCCTTCCCCTGCCTCAAGCCACTCGACACCCAGCTTCAGTTTCCTGTTCATTACAAGTTGACTCAAGCCCATGCTGTTTCCTCAGGACCTGCCGTTACAGCACAGCGTTCTCTTCCTCTATCCAGACCCTGCTAAGCTCCACATAGGACCACCTCCTCCAGGCAGCCTTCCTACTGGGCCTGTGCAACTTACATCTCGGATCCTAAGACCCCTCCCCGATGACCAGGACACTCATATGAGTGTGTAATCATCTTTCCGCCCAGCTAAGGAGGACAGGGCCCTACGTGTGAGTCTAAAACTCGTCCTGATCCTCACCAAGTTGGATCCTTCTCCCAGGGGGCGAATCTGGAGCTGGGGAAAATGCAAAAGCCGGGCAGAACTAGACAGGACATCTGGGGACAAGCAAGGTTCCCAAAACATAACAGTGTGTCCTTAATCTCTGCAAAGAGAAGGGACATGTCCCTTTTCTGATCCCCAGTCACACTGAGTAGCGGCTGGAACAGGAGCTGCGTGACTAGAGGGGTGCCGGTGGGCGAACCACTGACCACCTCCTCCCAGAAGGGACAATGCCCACATTTCCAGAGCTGGGACACATCAGCCATAATGGCCCTCTTGCCAATGCAGGGCTAAGCACAGAATACCAGTCCCGAGAGAGAGAATTCTAGGAAAAGTTAGTGCTTGGGCAGAGAGGGGCATTAAGGAATCCAGGCTCGAGGGGTTGAGAAGGTTAGGGTTCTTTCCCAATAGTCCCGGGCCAAAGGCAGAGATGCTAGGCCCTTCCTAAGCCTTGCTGGGGAGGGCAGTAAGAGCGCCAAAGCATGCAAAGGCTTTCAGAGGCAGTCACACAGCCAGCCTGTGTCACCAAAGGAGACAGTGGCTCCAGCTCCCAGCTCTGTTCAAACGAGGACTGCAGACACGTTAGATTTGGCCTTCCAGTGCCCCCAAGCCTGAGAGCGGTGCCGTGGCCGAATATCTCAGCTGCCTCACTGGGTCCAGGCCAGTATCCTCTGTGCCCAAAGCGTCCCTTCCCTTCTTCGCAATCATTCCTCTGCCCCCCCAGACACACCTTCCAGCACTCTTCTTCCCACATTCTGACCAGACCCATCCCAACGCGTCAAACAGAGAGCAGGGACCTGAAGCTGACCCCAACTCCTATCTCCCCCAGGCTCCAAAAGACCAGGGAGGGCCCTGGAGACAAAACTGCCCCTCCCCACGAGCCCCACCCCCCACCCCCGACTCCAGACTTCCAGCTCTGCTCCAGATCCCGAAGATTACTACTGAGCCGCGGCTCTTGCTCACACTCACCTGCTCTCGCATCCTGTCCTGCTGACCTCTCAGAGCCAGGGCGTGCTGGGGGTACTTGCTCTTCAGGTGGTCCATGAATGCATCGCGCTTGCGGTCTGCATCCGCCTTCTGGAGCCCGCTAAGCGCCTCCAGGCTCTGGGCAGCGATCACGGTGTGCCGACGCTCGGAGGTGTGTACCAGCCCCACGTTGGAGAAGCGCCGGCCCCCGCTGCCCCCACCGCCCCCACCCCCCAGGGTCCGGTACTCTCGAGGGTACTCGGCATCG